AACTTGGAGCAGCAGGAAGGCATTCCCTTCGTGAAAGATGTTCCTTCGGCATTCCTTTTGTGAAAGATGTTCTTTCCTTGACCAAAGTAATAACACCCTCCAATTATTCCCTTTAAAATGTAAACCCATATATTAATTAAGTCCTTATATATTATGTAAAGTTAATAGCCCAGCAACTCCTTTTAGTATTTATCTGTTTTCTTTTTTCCGTTATTTAGATCTAATGCCTTGCTTCCTCTTATATAAAAGAAAGATGCCACTGGCCGAGCTGTACAGACCTTCCCGAGTTTTAATTCTTTGCATTTGCTTTCCATTTTTAACATTCTTTCTTCATCAGATATGTAGCTTCGCACTTAGAAAAAGGATGAGGAAATTGCTCCGAGCTACCTACTTGTTAATTAATTTGCCTTCGCCTTCAGTTATTCTTGGATTCCTTTCTTTGTCTAGCAGTTAGACATCTTTTCTTCATATATATACACGTTCACAACTTCATTTAAATCATGCTCTTTCTTCGTCGTTGAACTTTGTCAACATTGCTCAGCAAGAAGACACAAAGGTCAGCGAAGATAGAAGCAATTAACCTACTGGTAAAAATCTTTCCCTTTTTTTTTTTTTTTTTTCCTGTTTGATGTTGTTAATTACTGAATATTTTCTTTATTGTGTACAAGAAAATTAAGTATCTTGATTTAATATGCTTAGATCATATTGAGAATTGAGGGTAAATGAAATTTGAATACCAATGCCATTTTGGAAGAGGAATTCCTGTAATTCCCTTGTTTAGTTTCGATTCCCTCCCTAGCCCTTGCTCCTCTTTCCCCTCTTCCTAACACCGTATTATGAATCGAAGTAGATCTAATCTTGGTTTCAAATTTATAATGGAGAAATCCAAAACAAGAAGAAAAGAGAAGCAGATACGTGGAGAGAATGAGAAGGTTGAGGAGTGACGGAGCTGTTTGGTTTTTGATTAATTACTCCATCCATTCAAGAATAAAAGTTGTAATTTAACTTTTAGAATTACAAAAAGTTTATAGTTTCACCTATTAAAAGATGTTTTTTTAATTATCATTTATTTTTTAGGTTAAATTCTCCCCTAAATTTTTGCAGTAAAAGATAAAATTAAATTAAAACCATTATAATTTATTGTTGAACAAAGGGAATAATGTCTAGAGTTTATAAGGTGTGAATAAAGTCCAAACTACATGCAATCTAAAGTGTAAATAAATTCCCTTTCCTTCAATTATCATGTTCAAAAATAAAAAATAAAAAAGAAAGGAAAAGAAGAGGCCCATTTCAGTAATGAAATTAAGATCTACTTACACATAAATTTTATACATTATATTTATATAAAATTTTGATAATTAATTTTTTTATTTTTAATAATTAAAATTTATCATAATTTTTTAATAAAAAATAATTTTTAATAAATATAATAAAATATAAATAAATTTTAATTATTAAAAATAAAAAATAAATAATAAATATCATATATAAAATTTATATATAAATAAATAAGGAGACTTATTAGTCAAAGTGTCATTGCCTTACTGAATAAATTTTAATTGTCGTGTGTATTATATTTACCACTGGGGTTTTGCCAGGCCGATAGGATTATTTAATCGAGGCCCAAAAGCTCACCTGGAAATGGTGCGGCCCATCTTTCTGGCACCTGTGGCCCACCCTTATTCTGTTCAGGATCCCTCAGGGCTCAGGTCTCAGCAACATCAATCTCTATCTTCCAATTTTCACCGAAAACCCAAAAATGGAAAATCCTTGCCTTTTAATTAGTACTTTCTTACGATTCCCACTCTACCAGCCTTACATTGATTAATAACAACAAATTGACACAATATCAATCGTTATTACAATGTAATCATGTATGTAAATATATGTGAAAGTTGTGTTTATTCAAATTTCATCGAGTTCTCAAGTTTAAAGGAAATTAATTAATTTTTTAATTTGATATGGGGGAGTCTTTTTGTATATTTTTCTCAAAGTTTCCTTTCTGTGTTTTTAGAGTTCGTATTTGAAGGACCTCTTTTATCTTCTTTGATTAGCATAGACAAAGAGATTAAGTATAGAGCTTAATTTAATGTTAGTTTTAGTGTTTAAATCTTTATATTGTCAAATAGTAATAATCTTGACTCCTAAAAGGATGTTTTAAGTGTTTAAGATATTGAAACTCTAAGTTAAAGGTCTCGAGAAAGTTAGAGATGGATAAGAAGCCAGGCCATTTTTTTTTATATAATCTATTATTTGATGTAAAAAAAAACTACAACTTCTAGTATGGAAAAAAAAAATAGCAGAAAATAGATATTTTATTGTAGCAATATGGATGAGTTCTTTAATATATATATATATATATATTTGCCCAACAATGAGATCCTATTAAAATAGAATTTTCTAATTGGTAAATTTATTGTACCTTTTCACCACAAATTTAAATGAGAAAAAAAAAAGTTGATTGAATTTTATTAACCATTTAATTAAATTGTCTCACATGATATTAATGTTGAAAATAGAGTCTATTTTCATAATTCTACAAACAAATTAATGGTAAAAGAAAGTAATAAATAAATTTGTAAGACACGAATTGGAAAAATCTTATTAAAAACTATAGTTTTATAGAGGAATAAGAATTGATGACTCTCATTAATTAGTATATTTGTGCATTAAATTGTACTTTTTTCCCGTAATTTGATGCAAAATCATGTTGTAATAATCTTTTCAACTTGTTTTTTAAAGTTGAAATCAAGTTCGTTAAGAGGGAGATAAGAGAGAGGAGTTCCCAATCAAGCTACATAAATTAACAAGGAGATCATAAAAGAAGAGAATTCTAATCAAGTTCTTCAAAGATATTTTCGTTTAATCAAGTACATTCTTATTTCTCTTATAACACATTGATCAATTATTTCATGTAAGAGGTAAATAAAAGTATGTGTAAAGCTAACGTGAGATGACTGCTTTAATAAGTACAAGATTTGTTTATAGATTCCTAGTTTTCCCTTGATGTAAATCATGTTGGAACTCAATGTTCTTTACAGGTTGAAACCAATGCTCTTGAGAAGAAATAAAAGAAAGGAGTTATATTCAAGTTTCCAGCCAATAATTTCCTCTAATTGATCAGGTACATTCTTGTGTTTCATTTCTATTTTCTAGCTAGCAAATTTTACATTAATCAATTACGTTTATATATATATATAAAAAAAATTGAATATTATTGGTTGCGTGGTGTGCTCCTTTGTGCTAACCTAGTTAGCTTTGTCTAATAACCCTTAGCTTATGTCATATTTGGTTGTAAGCAATGATTGTTTCTTAGTTAACCTATGCAAATAAGGTAATAAAGATGAACTTTTTTTCTCTAATGAAAAACTGACTTAACAAGTCAGGAATACAAAAGGTTTAAAATTAATCATTTTTTACTAAACTAGTAGTAGCTAGATTAAAAAGGAAGAATCATGTTTTTCAATCTCCCCCACACTTTAAAATATCAGTTCAAAGTGAGGAAGAACAAAAACAATACTAATAAATCTTCATACATCCCTACTTCAATTGGTGTAATTTTATCATTTACAAATCCCAACTGATGTTTTTAAGTGGGGAATACTTTAAAAGACATTTTTTGCTAAAGGAATAAGAATTGTTCCCTCCTTAAGAAATAAGGCATTCCTTACTTTCTCCATAACAATGAGCAAAATCATCAATCATTTAGATTTAATTTTATAGTTAGACTAGTGAATAACCATTATTCTCAACAACGCATGACTTTTTTTTTTTTTGGTTTTAAGATTCCCTTTTATGTTTTAGAGTTTTTATTTGAAGGAACTCTTTATCTTCTTTACCATAAACAACTAGATATAAAGTGTAATTTGATTTTTATTTTAGAGTAAAATATTTTCTGTATTGCCAGGCAGTTAGCAATTTTAGTTTCTAGTGTGAAGAAGAAATTGATATAGGAGAAATTGATATCGGAAGTGAAGCAAACTCAGATAGATTTTTTTTTTTTTTTTTGGTGTGGTGGTATGGATGAGATCCTTAATTAAAAACATCATATTTTTATCAAATAAAAATGAAAAAAATGTCATACCTGCAAAGCTAACATGAGTACATTGATGACTTCTTGAATTTGTATTATTTTTTTAGTTGAAATCAACTCTGTTAAAAGGGAGATAAAAGAAAATAGGAGATAAAAGAAAGAGGAGTTCTAACCAAGTTCCTTGAAGATATTTTCGTTTGTTTAACCAAGTGCTTACTTATTTTTCATCTCTAACATATCTTAATGCATTGACCAATTGCATTTATAATATAAATGAAAATATGTGTAAAGTAGTAAACATGAGCATTGATGACTCCTTGCTACTCACAATATTTGTGTATAGAATTGTAGTTTTCCTTTGGTGTAAATTATGATGTAACTCAGCTTCTCTCAATATATGTTATCTTTTTTACAGGCTGAAATCAATTTAATTTATTGAGAGAAAATAAAAGAAGGGTGTTCTAATCAAGTCTCTTGACAATATTTCATCTAATATTCAGGTACAATCTTGTATATATAAGTATTTATCAATTAAACTTCTAAAAGATTGTGAAAAATAACATCCTAATTAATAGAATTAGACTAAAACGGCCAGATTCTTTATTTAAAAATAAGTTATTTTAGTTTTTGTTTTCTCCTAATATTTTATCCCACTTTTGGTATGAGCAAAACAGAGGAAAGAGGAGACAATATGCCCCCATTTCCCTTCATTTCCCTCTCCTTCCCTCATTTGCTTATGTTAAAATTATAAGAGAAAATAAAAGATGACTATTATACATGACAAACAAACAACCGAATGCAAATTAATTAAAGTGACAAGCTGAGTGATGAAAAGAGCTAGTGACAATTTTCCCAACCCTTTTTAGTCTCACTTTTTCATCCTATTAACCATTAGTTATTCCTATATCTTGTGTTGTTTTTGAAGTCGTTGCGTACATTCTAATACACATGGTGTTTCATTTTATAGGGTCTTCTTCAATGGAGCTTCTAGTAGAGCCTATCACGGAACTAGTAAAATGTTTGGGGAGGTCAGCCTGCACCTATCTAGATTATCACTTAAATTTTGATGAAGCTGTGAGTGATCTAGGAAGAGAATTGGAAGCTCTAAACAGGAGAAAAGAGGATATAAAGTTAAGCATACAGTCCCATGCTAGTTTGGGAAAAGAAGTAAAACATGAAGTGCGAGGTTGGCTTGAACGTGTAGAAGAAATCAATAATGAAGTGTCAGCCATTCAAGAAAAGATTCAGAGAGTTAAGTGGTACTCAAAGGGCCATCTAGGGAAACTTGTTCGGAAGAAAATTGAGGTGGTGAAGAGAATCTATGAACGAGGTAGTTTTCCTGATGGTCTCACAGTTGACAAACCTCCACGAGGAATCATATTGCCAACTGAGAATGTAGTGGGTGAAGATTCTGCAAAAGAAAAAATTTGGGGATACTTGACGGGCAATGAGGTAAGAAAGATTGGGGTTTGCGGGATTGGTGGGGTTGGGAAGACTACCATCATGAAGCATATTAATAATGAATTGTTAAGAGTGACCAATTTTGATAGGGTGATTTGGATCACTGTGTCCTACCCACTCAATGTTATCAAATTACAAGAAAATATTGTTCGTGCTATGGATGATAAATTGAGACTCCCAGAAGGTGAGGATAAAGTGAGGCGGGCAGCTACTTTGATGAGCATTATGGAAGGAGTAGGAAGATACGTGCTTATCCTAGATGATGTCTGGGAAGTGTTTTCTCTTATTGAAGTGGGAATTCTAGAACCAACAATTCAAAATGGAAGCAAAATAGTCATCACTAGTAGATCCGTTGATGTGTGCCAAAAAATGGGCTGTGAGATAGTCAAAGTGGAGCCTCTTTCATTTCAGGAGTCTTTTAACTTATTCTTAGATAAAGTAGGGCGTCAGGTTCTACAAGTACCAAACTTAGAAGGAATCTTGAAGCTCATCGTGGAGGAGTGTGGTGGCTTACCGCTGGCCATTGTTGTGATAGCAGAGAGTATGAAGGGAGAAGATGATGTTAAAGTGTGGAATAATGCCTTGACTGAACTACGGGAACGGGTAAAGAGTGTGACTGGTTCAGATCAAAAGATATTTAAGAGGTTAAGGTTTAGTTATGATCGTTTGGATAATTCTGAAATCCAAAGCTGTTTTCTTTATTGCTCCTTGTTTCCTGAAGATTATCCATTTGAGAGAGAAGAATTGGTAGAAGGGTGGATTGATGAAGGACTAATTGATGTGTTGCCTAATAGAAAAGCAGCTTATGAGAGAGGCCAAGCTTTTTTAAATAGGCTAGTAAAGAATTGCTTGTTAGAGAAAACTGTTGATCGGCGTGGTGATGTTTTCAAGTTGCATGATGTACTGAGAGACATGGCTGTCAAAAGCATTGGTCCTGAATTTGGATATATGGTAAAAGCTGGTATGAAATTGACAGAGGTGCCAGATGAGCGTGGGTGGGGAAATGATCTTAAGAAGGTGTCTCTAATGGAGAATAACATACCAAAAATTTCCCTTGGGTTGTGCCCAAAGTGTCCAACTCTTTCAACTTTGATATTGTCAAATAATCCTAATTTGTCAGAGATCCCAGAATCATTCTTTGAAGGTATGCCTGAACTGAAGGTTCTTGATCTTTCTGAAACTGGTATTGAAGCTTTACCTAATTCCATCTCAAACTTGGAGAAGCTCTCTTCCATGAGGTTAAGGTGGTGTCAGAGGTTAAGGTATTTGCCTCATTTAGCAAAGCTTACAGTATTAAAGAAGTTGGATCTGTTTAGATCCAGGATTGAGGTGGTCCCTCAAGGCTTGGAGAAATTGATTAGTCTGGAAAATCTTGATTTAAGGTATTGTTACAATCTAAAAGAGATTCCAATGGGAATGTTATCAAACCTTTACAATCTCCAATACTTGATATTAGGTTTTGAAAATTTGAAGATAAAAGGAGAAGAGGTTGCGAGATTAAGTAAGTTGGAGACCTTTCAAGGTGCATTCGATGACATACAAGGCTACAATTATTTTGTCAAGTCTCAGGATTTCCAAATTCTTACTAATTGCGATATTTTAGTAGGAGAACAACCACGATACTATGGTAGGTTGACTGGCCAAAAGAAATCTGTTGTTAGTATTAATAATTGCGACTTAGGAGAAGAAAGTATAGTGCTTCCAAATAACCTTAAGAGGTTGATGATCTGGGAGTGTAAAAACATGAGAAGTAGCTTAAATAAAGCAGCTTTGTTAGAAAAGGCAACCGAGTTGAGTTTTTGTGGTATTTGGCGTTGTGAAGATATGGAGTGTGTGGTTGACTTGGACTCACCCTCTTGTCCAGTACTGGATAAGCTTGAAGAGCTGTCTCTTTGGAGTTTGCCTAAGTTGAGTGTACTTGTGAGAGTGGAAGGAGTAGCAGCACCACCGCACGCCTTTTCCAATCTTAAAATACTTCGTATTGGGTATTGTTCAAGAATGAAGAAGTTGCTTCCACTTGAGCTGCTGCAGGCCTTCCAAAACTTAGAGTACATTATTGTTAATGGGTGCAAACAAATGGAGGAGATAATAGCATCATCAGATTCAGATGCATCACCGGATAAATTCACTTTTCCCAAGTTAAGGAGATTATGGTTGAGTAATTTACCCCAACTGAAGAGCATCTGCAGTGCCAAAGGAGTTATGCTTTGTGATTCTATTGAAGAAATTAAAATATTGGAATGTCGGGAGTTAAAGAGGATCCCAGTGCAGCTTCCCCTGCTTGATAATGGCCAACCATCTCCTCCTCCTCATATCAGAGAAATCAGGACCGATGAAGCGTGGTGGGAATCAGTGGAGTGGGATCATAAGAACCTACTTCAACCTTTCTTGAAATATTTGTAGCAGTGATAATTGAGGGGGTAAGGTGTTGATTGATTAAAGTATTCAATTTCTAATTTTAAGAATGTTGATTTTATTTATTTTCCAATTCCTCTTCTATCATTTCTGTTGTTTTATTGATCCTTGGAGGTTGAATTGAAGGGAATAAACGATCATGATCTAGAGTAAGAAGGCACTAGCGGACGGCCAGGATGAGCGGCAACATTCCGTTTCTGTATGCACCTGTGACCTGACATGTCCAAGTAAGTCACGTGCGGTCCCTTTTCTCCTCCAATCCAGCCCTGTTATTCTGATTCCGATAAAAGAGAATCCAGTTGAATCCAATCTCTAGTTCCCCAATTTTATCTGAGATTCTCCCCAAACTGGGTACTATTTTAACTCTTTAACTCTTCTTTTTTTATTTCTTGTTCCATTTTGGTAATCCCAAAATCTACTGCAGATTTTCTGAAATGATTTGTTTCTGTTAGGATTTTTGGTGGCTGGTCTTTGTTTGTTTAGGGATTTCTTATTTTCTTAGATGATTCCTTCTGGGTATGGTTATTTTTGTTTAGATTTTTGAGAATTCGATAGTTGGTTCTAATAAATTTATTGAGTTGTTTAATTTGTGATAATTAATAATTAGAATATTTAAATTAACTCTCTCTTTTTTTTTGTCTGAGTTGGAAATAAAATCATTGAAATGAAAAACATGCAGGATTTCAATTTCAGTATTGCAAATTCCAATTTTGGCACAATCAGTTGGCAATTGGCAGGAAGAGTCCCAAGCTTCTGTCTCCGATGAACTCCAAGTGCTTGGATTTTTTGCACAGGATTTGGTGTCATAAACTCCAGGTTCATTTTACTGGGAGATGCAGGTTCATTACTAGATATATGGGTTTGTGATTCTGCAAAGTTGAAATCCAATTGCCCATCGGAAGATGTAATAATTCAATTCTAAGTTCCAATAAACCATACGCGGTACAAGTAAGCGTCATTGCCTAAATTGATTAATTCTTATATGCATTTAATAGATTGTAAACCAAACTTAATACATTACAATCTGAAATTCACATTACTGGAGTGATTCTGATACTTTAATCTTCTTTCTATGGACTCTTAGCTGATTTTATTTTTTCTTTCTTTTGTTTATTTACTTCTTGCAGATGCTTCTATTTGTGCTGATGATGGTGAAGCAGTTGAAGAAAGGGGCATTAATGATGATGCTCATGGTGTTAATTTTAAGATAGCTTCCAACGGTGAAGGGCACCAGGAAAAGGAGTGTGCAAGAGAAGTTAAACCAAAATCCATGCTTTGTACCTTTTAGAGAGTACCACTTTGCATTATATAACTGGTCTTCCAGGTGCATGGATCTTTCAAGTTTAATCATTTTACCATCTCATTCTGCTTATCATTGATTCAATTTGTTATTATCATTGATTTTCGGTTATTTACCACATTCTATTGTGCACCAGATGCTGGAGGTGTGCCACACAATTTCTATGTTTTAATTAGAAATTCAAACTCCAAAGTAGGCTATTTGCTTTCACATTTCCACCTTCCTTTTCTATGATGCAGTTTGAAACAGCTTTGTAAATAACCTCCTGTATGAATATACAACAGATTTCAAAGACAAAAAGAGTAGAGTAATAATATCATATTTTTGTTCAGATTTTTGAGAATTTGGTACTTGGTTCTACCTCTATCTTAGAGTAGCAAAATCCTTGCAAGCAGTTTTGCATTGGAGTTTCCCACCTTCATCCCCAGTTTCTGTGGTTATGATGATGGAACTCCTGTAAACATTACAGCTGCTCAACCAAAAGCTATAGGAATCTCAGGACCTTCCAAGAATAATTACACTTGAAGCAATGTGCTTTCACCATTCAACAAGCTAGAGTCGGCTCAATCAAGCTCAAAGCCATCGTCCGTTCAAGGATGGTAGGCAACCATGGAGGAGGCTGAGTAATGAATTAAATCTTTTGTGCTCTCAAAGAGCTTAAGTATCTGGATGCTTTTGTTTTCCAAAATACTTGCATCTTTAATTTTCTATATTAGAGACATGTTTTAATTAGTAGTATCATTTGCTGTTGTAGCATGCTTCATATCCTGATCTGGTGCGACTACTTTCTTATTTGGTGTATATGATGGTGATTGAGGTAAGAATTGGATGCCTCAAATAAGGTAGCCTAACTGAGATAATATAAATAGTAGATGGCTTAAGTGTTCAGTCTCTAACATTTGACTGAATTATTATAAGCAGGGCAGTTTCTGATTGGAAGGAAGCAGGAATGCGTAAAAACTGAGGAAGGACTCAGAAGTTTCCATTGATTTGGTTTCCAGGTGAAGCATAGATTTGATTTTGTTACCCTTCGCACATTTTCGTGTACTGTTGTGAATTTTCTTAGAAGCCCAACTGAAGTTATTTGGTTGGTTGTCATTTGAAATTCAGGGTTTCAAAATGAGGTTACCTTCAAAGCGTTTAAAATGAGCAAGATGTAATGATGTTGGTAGTGATTCTGAAAATGAACAACTGATGATGGTTTGTAAACTTTTCAATGATTTCTGTTTTGATTTGATCAACATCATTTTCCCAGTTGTTTCATTTGATTGGGGATTTATGATGTAGGTGTGACAAAATGGGGAAGAGGAAGATGCAAGTCTTGTAGAGGTACATGTTTTGTTAGTTCACTCAAATCCCATGCTTGACCACCTTTAATTTCTAATGTTTTTTGGGTTAAAGATTTTTTAACATGCATGCAACATTTGCAACAGGCAGGCATATAGACGAATGTGTTCTTCATCAAATGGACACTTAAGTCCTGAGTGCAGACAATAATTTTGTTGAGGAAGCAAAACCTCTGAGAAGGTACAGTTCAGTCCAGCCTCTGCTTCCCCAATTTCATATGAGATTCTTAACATTCTGCCAACTGGGTACTATGGAATCGAATCTCTTTTATCTATGTATGAATTATTATGATTTTAAATATAACTCCTCTTATATTTTTTGTGTTGTCGTTCCATTTTGGTAATTTCAAAATCTACAGCATATTTTCCAAATTGATTTGTTTCTATTATGGTTTTTGGTTGCTGATCTTTGTTTAGGGATTTCTTACTGGGTATGGTTTTTTTTTTTTTTCAGATTTTTGAGAATTTGGTAGTTGGTTCTAATAAATTTATTGAGTTGTTTAATATGTGATAATCAGCAATTAAAATATTTAACTCTTTTTTGTCTGAGTTGTGAGTGAAATCATTGAAATGAAAAGCATGTAGGATTTCAATTTCTGTGTAGCAGGTACCAATTTTAGCAGAATCGGTGACAATTGGCAGGAAGAGTCCCGGGCATTGGTTTCCGATGAACTCGATGCACTCCTAAGTAATATCATTTCTGATTTTGGCACAGGCTTTGGTGTCATAAACTCCAAGTAGTGAGTGTTGATTTTACTGTATTCATTTTCTATTTGTATCTATCTTTTGATCCTAAATTACCCTTCAAAATTAATATTATTATTCACCCACAATAATAATAATAATAATATAACATGCTTTTTAATTTCTTAAGCCAAAAGTTCTATGCAAGTGAATTTTTCTAATAAAAACTAGGATTATTTTCAGGTTTGCTATAAGTTCTGCTAGGTTGAGGAGCAGTCCTCCAAGTCCATGTAAAGCTTGTTACTGGATCCAAATTCACAGGTCAGATTTTCCATAAAAATGGCATATGGTCTCATTCTGAACAATATTTCTCTGTTTAGTTTTTTACCTTTATCTTATAATATTGCATATTCAGTCGGGAGGTGCAGGTTCATTAGCAAATATGTGGGTTTGTGATTCTGCAAAAGTCGAAAATCCAGTTGAGCGCTAAAAGATGTAATAATTCAGCTCTGAATTCTAATAATTTGTTTCTTTATCCATAAGCAGTAGTGGTTGCATCATTGCCTAAATTGATTCTTATATGCATTTAATAAAATTATAAACCAAACTTCATACATTACAATCTGGAATTCACATTACTGGAGTGATTTTGATAATCTCTTCTTTCTATCAACTCTCTTAGCTGATTTTATCCTTTCTTCTGCTTCTTTGCTTATTTCAGATGCTTCTGGTTCTGCTGATATGATGGTGAAGCAATTGAAGAAGGGGACACTGACGATAATGCTCTCATGGTGTTGATTTTAAGATTGCTTCTAATGGTGAAAGGCAATAGGAAAAGGAGCGTGGGAGAGAAGGTACCAATAGTCATGTTTTGTACCTGCCTCTTCTAGGGGCACAGATTTTTCAAATTTTGATCATTTTACCATTTGAATCTGTTTGTCATTGATATTAATCCTGCTGATGGTTGTTTCATTTGTTATTAATCACTGATTTTAATTCTGCACTGGACGGTGGATTATAGCATCCTGAACTTCTTCAATAACGTAAGTTGCGTTCAAATAAACGATTTTGGTTTCTCCATTTCTTCCACTTGTTTGCTGCCCAAATTGAATTCAAGAAACTGAAGCATACTTAAATGTTACAATAATATAAGCTCGTAAGAAAAGATATCATGCTCACCAGAGCAATAAAGAGGACTCTGCAAAAGTCTTAGTCATCATTGAATGACCTGCATTCATTTTGGCTTTACTAAGTATGGAGTGCTTCTGGCTATCTTTTTGCCCTTTTTCCTGATTAATTGAAGCAATTGGAGGCTAGTAGACATGGTCCTGCTATTTTAGTTGATTTCATTTTGCCTGTTTTAGATTGTAATAAGCTAGGTCATAACAATCACACTTTTTAACGGTTTGGTCTTTCAATCAATGTAGGCCTCCTGCAGAGCTATGAAGTCCCACCAAGCAAAGCAGGAAACAAGACAAGCAGGGGTAGCGCCCTTAAAGTGAAAGCATAAAATAATCTTTCCTTGGGTTGGTAGTACCATGCAAGCAGCAGAATCAGGGAACCCTTTCATGGGGAGACATCAAACTCATGGCAACTTTGAACACTAAACACTCAAAAAGACAAGCAGGAAAAGCAAGGCAATATCTTATCATTCTTGGAAAGAGTTGACTTGGGCAAAATGAAGTTTCTGCTTCTTCCTAGCCATATTCTTAACTAGATTGCATTCTTTCTCTTGGTTGGACAATATTTGCAATTCATATTCATCCACAATTTTTGTGTTTTAATGGGAAATCCAAACTCCAAAGTAGCCTACTTGCCTCTGGATTTCCACCTTCCTTTGCAAGGATGCAGTTTGAAAGAGCTTTTGTAAATAACCTCCTTTATGAATATACAAGAGATTTCAGAGACAAAAAGAGAGTGATCTATGTTCAATCTCTCTCTCATACACACACACATGATCTTCAACCATCTTTTATCATGTTGGTTGGCTCCCTCAAAACATACTTTGCTAGTTCGTATTCTCCACCTGCAAAGGGTGAGTTGTAAGCTTGCTTGGAAAGAATTTCAAGTTGTGCAGTAAAGCATAATTGATGCAGTAAGGTATAGCTAGTTATCTCTTTCATCATAGCATAAATTTGAATAAGAATTTTGAACAATGATCCCTACACCGTCCACAATTGA